CACACACACACACGCGCGCGCGAAGATGGAGAGTAATAGAGAAAGACCTCTGTAATAGTGTTGACCTCTGGCTTGCACATGCACACCACACACACATACAAACACTCAAAAGCAGCTGGGTGGTGGTGTTGCACACTTTTAATCCCAGCACTTGGGAAGCAGAGGCAGGTGGATTTCTGTAAGTTCAAAATCAGCCTAGTCTATAGAGCAAGTTCCAGGACAGCCAGGGCTACCCAGAGAAACCCTGTCTTGAAAAACAAAACAACAACAACAAAAATACTCAAAAGCTGGGCATAGCAGCACATAACTATAATCCCAGGATTTAGGAGGCAGGAGGATGCCACAAGCTCAAGATCTACCTAGTCTACATAAGTTCCAGGCCACCAGGGCCACAGAAAACCTAAAAGACAATAGCAACAACAAAAGTCTCCAGAGCCTACATAAAGGCTCAGAACTGTCTGTAACTCCAGCTCTAGGATGCCATGCTCTCTTTTGACCTACCATGGGCACCCTGACTCAATGGGACCCCAAGGCTTCCACCTGGCTACTAGCTCCATGGACTGTCGGCTGCAGGCACTGGCAGAGCCTGTGAAGGTGCAGAGTGCAGGAAGCTAAGAGCTGTTACACTTTCTCACCTGCAGCCTCAGTGCTGAGGTAGTCTCTCTTTTGTTTGGGGGTGGGGTAGGGTGAGGGGAGCAAGAAACACCTTCCTTACATCCTACTCATCCAGCCTCACTCTAGACCTAAGCTGAGCCTAGAGGAGCCCCTGGAAGAGGACATTCTTGTCTTGGGCTCCCAGAACCCTGAGTCATACACCAGCCACACGTGGGGCTGCCATGTCAGAGCGGTGACTGAGCCTTTAGACTCATCGGGCTAAGGCACCTCCTTCCACTGAGGTAGCGGGGGTAGAAGTAAGGACCTTCCCTCTTTAGCTTGTCTAGGTACTATGCCCCTCAAATACCAAAATCAAAAGGAAGTCCCCAAGTACAGAGAGGCATTATTGTACAGCCAACAATGTCAAGTGTCCTTATGGGACACTGTCTTTTTAAATTTTTCTTTGTATTTGGTTTTGGTTTTGGGTTTTGAAACAATCTCAAGTCAGGCGGTGGTGGACCATGCCTTTAATCCCAGCACTCAGGTGGCAGAAACATCCAGATCTCTGAGTTCAAGGCCAGCCTGGTCTATAGAACAAATTCTAAAGACAGGCTCCAAAACTATACAGAGAAACCCTGTCTTGAAAAAAACAAACAAAAAGATGTGTGTGTGTGTTTGTGTGTGTGTGTGTGTGTTTGTGTGTGTGTGTGTGTGTTTGTGTGTGTGAATGCATTCCATATGTGCCCTCTGGAAGAGCAGCAAATACTCTTAACCACTGAGATCTCTCCAGCCCTCAGGTGCAATTTTTTTTTTTAAATACTTTATGTTTTG